CGACAGGTCCATATGAACAGGATCCTTCTTCCATCCTTTTCTCGGACTGGGATCTGTTCATATACGTTCTTGGCAGATGATCCAGAAGTGGTTTGCCATTGCCTTCTTCTGTGTGTGAATGGAGTAATTGTTGGGATGCCCCCGGAGGAAAACTCCGTGTTGCCTAGACCACGGCCTTGCCCAACACAAGTTATAAATTCGGTACATTCTTAGCGTGTAGACACAAAATACAAAATCAATGGAAATGAGTATATTTGAGGATGAAACATGTCGTCAGACAGGTGGTTACGACCTCTCAATAATTCATGCCTTTCACAGATTTCGACGGCATTTGAACTGTGAAACTAATGCATCAGAATATTTGCGTTATGCGTCGAGTGACCGCTACTGATGTTTAGGGTTTATTAATGGTTGCATTTAATCGGAACTATAATGCCCTATAAACTGGGTATGGTGTATGTAGTTACAGTTTTAATCAATGCGAATAATTAGTGATGTTTAGCGTGCGACCATGCTATTCAATTTTGGGTGTTTTGTTGTTCCCATCTGTTATCCAGAATGACAAAGAATATAGGTGTATGATTTTATAGTTTGTTATGTGTGAGCGCGTGCCTTCATTTCACATATTTGAGAACAGAAACCTAAGGGGAATGATTAGACTCGTGGATTATTTATCTACATTATCAGTATCTGAGGACATACAACGTCGAATTTTAGGGTGATTACTAAGTAAGGAATTGTAAAGAACGTGGAAGGAAGCAGTCTTGGCTTAATTTAAGGCGTCATTACGAAAGTTGTGTGGAAAATCTATTAAATTTTCGAGGGAATGCTGACGAAACCCACTGAGAGTTCTCATGAGAGAGAGAGAAAGAGAGGAAATTTGGGGGGGGGGGAAGTGAGAGGCACTTCGATATCTGGGAGGGAGAAAGAGCATCTTATAGCTAGAAGGTCCCCAGGCAATGCCCGCTCGTCCTTCTGTTAAGGATAAAGTAAGAGTGAAGGCGTTAGTGTGATAATTGGTATAAAAGACGGAATTTTGAGTTCTCATGGTAACTTGTGCGAGGCTTTTAAGATTTCAGCCCGTACTGCAAAGAAAACATAAATTTTCAACCATTACAAAGATATATGGTTAAAGCTGTTCAGCCTGAGATTCGTGGGAATAATTACATAATACAGAGATAATGGTTGTTAAAGCAGGTGGTACGTACACTTACCACCCTGATTTAAAGGGTTAATTAAGTATCATAGTTCTTCGCCCCTGAATGTAATCGAACCCGGTTTATTTTTATTTGTTACTGAGGGGTTCACAGTTTATGTGAAGTGATTGCAATTGCGTCCTTTGATCAGACAGGCAGCGTTTCGTTGCGGCTAAAAAGGAAACAACTCTGTTTCTATTTGCAACCGCAAAGGGAACAAAACAAAGGAAGGCAGACGTTGATAATATAATAAAAAGAGTTTTCGTTAAACAAACCCAGCAGCTGTATCTAGAGCCCGGAAATTAAATGACTAGGTTGTGAGACTCATTTACAAATGTTGTTAATATATTATAACCTCCACACAGTGCGGTGTTATGAACCCGATACGCCATAATTGATGCTTGTTTTATGAATCGCTGGGAATTAACTGCGTGGGAGAAAGATAAACGGATTCTACGTGTATGAGTGTTTCTGTTTTGATTTTTTTTGATTTTGAAGTGAGTACGGAATTTTAAACACGACTGTCGTTTAGATGAGTTAAGAATATGCACATCTGTGAAGTAAATTTATAGTTTTTCATAGACACGGTGTTTTTACCCAAAAGGTTATTTGGTTATGTGGCAAAATTGAATATTTTGGGGCCTTAGTAATAAATTGCATGCTGTTCTAAAGACTGTAATGAACCTTTTGGCTCCATAAAAAGGCGGGGGGTTTTATTGATTTTCTGAGCGTAATAGTAGCTTTTCAATAAGGACTCTGTTCCATGGAGTTAATTAGTTCTGTGACAAATAAAAACGACGTTCACGAATGAATTAAGAGCGGGCCTAGATTAAATTCGGGAAGTACTTGCTACAGTTCAGTTCGGAAGTATTAAATATACAAAACTATAATTATGCTAGAACTGTTACGTAATTACACTTGTTGCTTTGTATGCGTTTAAAATTTGCTGACTTACGATAAGGACAGAGCACAGATTGAGAGCTTTTGAGGACCGGGCGCTGAGGAGAGTATTTAGGGGTACGATAATGGAGGCAGAATGATAATGAATTAAATAAGTAATGAATAACTTCATAATTTGTAACGTTTCCCATACATAATTAGATTAAAGTTAGCGATGGATGGGAGTAATCTAGGACTCATGATATAGACGAAAATTGCACGTGGAATTTATTCGGAAAATCTCGTGGTACCAGCACTTGGGCATACTGCAATGAACCTTTGCATTCTGTAAGACTCGGCGAATATCTAGACTAGATGAGAAAATGTCACCTTCTCAAAAATGACTGTGATCCATGTTAATACAACATCTATACTTCAATCTGCTTTATTTATCCTTTCCACGTTACCATCGAGTATTCCCGTTGAGGAACATAGCTATTTCTGCTCGTGGTAATTTAAAATGTAACATTGTCAGTGACAGACATACCTCTCTTTATAATCTTGTTTTATTTGTCGAATTATGGGTTTGGTCTTCTTTATTATGTTGTCGTGTGTATGGTTAAAAACGTTTCGGAGGAACCTGGTGTTTCATCTTCATGTCTACTTTCATGAAAATTTTTTCACATGAAATTCACAATTGGCGTTATGCCCGAGTATTCATTGTTACTGTAGACAAAATAAATAATTTTATTTTTGTAAATCAAAATAGCGTAAAAGTATGGAATAATCTAGAAATCGGAACTGGTTCATTTTTTTCGATTATATCAGCGTACCAGAGCAAGGGACGCCAAAAGCAGAAACAATTTTCTTAAAATACTCTAAGGCAGGGGTTCCAACCCGCGGGCCGCATGTGGCCCGCCTTGAACATTTTTCCGGCCCGCGAGATTCATCACACTTTTACAAAATATATTTATATTTAATTTTTAGTGCTATATATTTCTTTACAATGTACGCTTAGTATCATTATTATTATATTATCTATGTTTACATGTAAGAATAATAGTAAACACAATAATAATAACTCATTATGTTTCAATTTTTCACTCCAAAAAAATGTCTATAGTGTATCTAAATCTAATATGGGGATATATAATTTTATATGTGGCCCGCGGAGTTGTGATGCATTTCCAAAGTGGCCCGAAAGATCATTTGGGTTGGCCCAACCTGCTCTAAGGTGCTTTTCATACTAGGTTAGGACTAATGATTTTATTACTTTATTTGTAAATATTATCCTTAATTAAATGCAGTTAAGTTAATCATTTAAGTGCGTTAGCCCTTTTGCTTACAGGAGCCGTGCTGAACACGAGCCCTCTCAAGAGACAATGTTTCTTGTCTCTTGATAGCTCCTGCTCTCTCCCGCCTTCGTTGTTGATGTCAGATCGAAATGTTTCTTGCTCTAAATGACGATCATCACTTGCGTTATCTTGCCATCTGCTTTGCTATCATTTACTCTGTGTTCCTTCTCATCGTTTCCATGGAGACTGTCTAGTAGACGTCCTACAGGAAATGAAGAAATTCAATTATAACATTCTAAAGTAAGATGTCTAAAACGTATAACACTCACTTGTAAAATGCAAAAGTAGCAACTAATTCCATCCAGAAAGTTAGTTAATTCACAAGCCAAGAATTTAATTACTTTGTTCGCAAGAGCCTGTTACAGTTCTCTGTACTGAGACAAATGAACTTGTCAAACCCGACTTCTCTCAGAACTATTTTAATATTGTAATCCCATCTACCACAAGTTCTTCTTCCAAACCTTTGTACGTCTTTCCCATGTGTAATACATTTCTTACCATATTATACTCCTTTATCTGATCGAACTAATTAAACCAGTTCATCCAGAACCATCTCAGAAGTACGAGGTGCGATCGGAAAGTTTCAAGACTGTGTCAATAGAGGGCGAACCGGATGTAGTACGAGCTTCTGCCGCTAGGGGGTGCGGCCTACATTCATAGTGAATCAGTGTGCCAGCCGGCATCATCGAATTAGAATTTGTTTCTTAGTTACGGGCGTTTTGGTAGTGCATTACACCGACCCTCCTGTGATTTCGGAATGGCGGATTTTCATGAACAAATCAAATTTTGCCAAAGACTCGCCAAAACTTACTTGTGCGTGTAGAGAAGCTATAAACCTCTGGTTTTAATAATGAGTGATTATTTTATGAGTATATATTACGTTATGTATCAGGTGTTAAGATTTTTCCCTGACAACGAATGAACTGAAAACCCTTTGTTTAGACAGAACTCAAAGTTTCCCCGGAGAGTCAGTTAGTCCTTCGCTCCGTAGTTTCATTAAAGCAGGAAGCGGTCGTTGGTCCCCAATTGTTTTCTGGAGGCCTGCACTTCAGCTGTTGCAGCTTGAAGGACCGCCTGTAATGGTCGCGGTGATTAATCTTCATCTCTCCTGCCGGAACGAGCACCTGTCGCCTCAGAGCTGCATCAATGGAACACAACTCCGATTGTTGTAGCGTCGTCCTATTGGCTGCGACTAATCGACAGTCGAACTCAGACAATAACAAGAAAAGTGAAGATCGCCTTTGTTTCCGCAAAAATACGAGCTTCAAAAAGCATGTATATTCAAAACTAAACACTGGAAAGAGTCTCGTTATTTTATTGTTTGATGACAGGTGTTGATGTGATTCCAAACTAAGCAACGAGTCTCTTCGTATTTTAAAATCAAGAACTTAGATTAAAAACTAACCTACAATTTTAAAACTCTTTCGTACTATAGACTAGAGCAGGGGTTCTCAACCTTTTTCGCTGGCGTACCACTAATTATAATTTAAGACATGAAATGTACCACTAACCAAATACTTTCAGGGAAAAATTATCTGTGTTAATATTATCTTTTGATTTTACTGCGTAGGTTGAGAAACGCTGGACTAGAGCGACTCACGTGTCCTTTCAAGGCCATTCGTTCTCCCGTTCGCGCTCGTATCGGCTATTCTACAACCTGTAGAGTGTTGATAATGTGGACTGTTCCTTCCAACGGGGTCATCCACATGGATAGAAATTTACGGAAGTGTAAGAAACGCGTGGTCCTTGACTGCCTCTCTCTAAGACCTTTCATTACTCCGACTTTGATTTCAGTTTATGGTTGTGTGTACTTGTGACCTTGAAATTCAGGGAACAGATGCGTTTAAACATTTATGCGCCTGATATTCGACGGACTGCAGAAATATCTGACTCCGTCATGAGAAACACGAGAATTTCTCTCTGCTATTCATTTTCTGGCCTGATCATCTGAAGTTGCTTCCAGAATTTGCCGCGATGTGTAGATGACTGAAGTTTCACTGCCTCAGGAAACATAATTAAACAACTAAAAACCCGAAGACAAATCTGGGCAGTAGTGAACGGAAAATATGAGATGATTTAAGCCGTATCTTTCGATGAAACTTTTCGTTAATATACGCACTGACAATCTACTTAATTTTAAATTATTTTTTGTTGTTGAGAAAGCTATAGACAAGCCATCGACTAAGCGTATTATAAGAAAACACAACGTTGGTTGTACGCCTAATTGACGTTTAGAAAACATTATTATTCTTATGGTAACAGCGTTATAATATGTCGATAAATGTGTCCGAATCCAATGAGAGTACAGTTTAAACATACCTGAAGCAGTCGAATACATTCTGAATTAAGCATCTCAAATGTTGTCGAACAGAAGTTAAATGGAAATTTATACAGAACACAGTTGTACACTTTACAGTAGACACAGTATCCCGTCTGTGCAAAGTGAAGCTGTCGACCACGGACCGATCAGACGTTTGTTGCCCGCGGAGACATTTGAAATAATAAAACGTCTTTTAACCAGCTGATTTTCGTAATGGTGAGGTGTAGTGTTTTCTTCGCGGTACGGTCTGGATTCGTAAATATTATGAAGACGAGCTTCGGCTTCAAAGGGTTAACCAGCTGATTTTCGTAATGGTGAGGTGTAGTGTTTTCTTCGCGGTACGGACTGAATTCATAAATAATATTCAGACGATCTTCGGCTTCAAAGGGTTAAAGACAGGAGTAAACGGTTTAGCTATGTAACCAGACGAAGAGACAGATAATGAATGGAATTTTTATAGTCGTATTGAACTAATGACGAAATCAAGAGGAAATTAAATTCAGAGAATGCTTTAAAATGTTTTGTTCTCCAGTCTCATGTAAAAAAACAACAACTAAAGATACAAAAGTATAAATTTGCCATTTGTAATGTATGGGTGCGAAACTTGGTCTCTCACTTTGAGGGAGGAACACAGAATGAGGGTCTTTAAGAACAGAGTATTTAGGAGGATATTTGGACCTAAACGGGAGTGTCATGGAATAAATCGCATAGTGATGAGCTTCGAGGCCTGTACTCCTCACCTGATACTTTTAGGGTGATAAAATCGAGTAGGATGTTAACAGGGTATTGGTTGGTAGTCCTGAAGGGAGGAGACCGCTGAGAAGACATAAGAACAGGTGGGAGGATAACGTCAAGGTGGAACTTAGGAACTGGATGCAGCTGGCTCAGGACAGAGTCCGCTGGCGGGCTTTTGTGAGCACGGTAATGGACCTTCGGATTTCATGAAGAAAATGGGCTATTCTTTTACAAACAGAGTAAGAAATAACAATTTAAATACTGAAGAACAGGGATAATTAGAAAAAATATATTATAATTAGAATACTTTTTGTATAACATTATAGGAGTTACTGACAACAGTAGGCTTAATTCAGGAATTAAAATAATTCTGTTTCTAATATCTTAAACGAAGAAAGACGCTCTGCTTCCAATAAGAAACTTGCTAAGTATATGTCGTAGAAATGGTTACATGCGACAAGTATGGAACGTAAAGCTGTTCCGGCTAGAAAATGGAGGGAACGGTACCAACTGTCTCGGTTCTAGAAAAAAACAAGTTGATCCAAATCTCACACTGACATCTGCTCTGTGACAAATGACTAACCGAATCTGAATTTACATCATGGTCTCACGAAAAGATGTTCTTTTATGGATTCTTTCGTAGCCATGGTTAAAAATGTATAAAAGAGGCAAGAGAACATAATCCATCTATTATGCATGTATGGATCATTGATTACTAGAGAGCTTTAGAGGTAACCCACAATGAATGGAGCATGTAGTATACATCTGAAGAGGGACTTAATCCGACCCCTAGAAAGACAAGGAACACTGCATGAAGCAGAATCCTTGAGTATGTAATAGCAGGTTGTCACAAAAATGTACCTCTTTTTACGAAACCTGAATTTTTATTACCTTGTTCGTATGAGTCTGACATTGGATTCTATATTTAGCCAGATGTATCCAATTCAGACACTCACGCCTCATTGTTTTACAGTTTGTTGTTGTCCCCAGGGCTGTGGAGTCGGTATTAAAATCTTCGAATCCGTCTCCGACTACGACTCCTTCATAAAAGCTCATTATGTATTAATAAGGGTAAACTTACTAAAATGGCAAATAGCACCACGAGAGATTTCATCAACACCACGTGAATCATCAATCTACATTTAGACGTATAACCTATATTTAAATATAAGTCTAATGGTTATTGCAGAAATCGGATGATTTGTAGACAGTTTGTATTCTTAAGGTACCGGACCCAAAGTTACAGAGCATTATTCCCACACCATGGGGGTCAACGCGTCGTTGAATCTCCCTAAGCGTGAATTCGTAGGCGGCTCACACGGTATAGAAATTGTTCTTAAGATTTTATATCGAGGTCGTGGTCTGTACATTTTTACCGATTCTGACTCCGACTCCGACTCCACAGGCCTGATTGTCCTCCTCATCCATGTCGTGGTATTGCAACTGGAACAAACTGTACAGCCTAATCGAATTCACGATGATATAGGCGGTTCATATTTCGCTTCATGATATGGTTTCGGGCTGTGAGTTTTATTTTTAAGAAAGCAACAAGTAACTTAAATGAAGTTAACTTTATCTTGAAAAATCTGAAATCTGAGTAAACTGTTTGTCAAGCATGAACCTTTTCTACGGTGTGTGTGTGTGTGCTCATTCGATTTTGTATAGCCAGCTCTCAAGGGGCCTTTGTCCATAACACACGAACACAAAGTTACAGATTACAGGCGTTATTAGAATGTCTCAGTTACAAAAGCGCGCAAAAGCGAGGGCGCGCATGAAGGAAAACTGCGTTTAGTATCTTTGGGGGGACTTCGAAAATAAAAATATAAGTTTTCATACACACCAGATATGGATATTTTCAGGTTCTCATGACCATGGAAATGAATTTGCCAACCACCTTGTATCAAGCATGAGGAGAATTTTCAACTACCAATCTGCAATAACCTGTAAATTACACAAAGGTTCTTTATGTAAAACAGAGTAGGAGACTCGTACGGAACATAAACGGAATGTATTTAGCTACAAGTAGCTACCACACTAATGTATTTACATAAAACAAAGCTTATCTTTGTGTCCCACTTACCGTGTTTTATAATAAAAGCTTCAATTTTGTTTTGAAACAAAAGAGTGTGATATTAAACGGACCTGCAATATGCCACTGTGCATTGTTTTCTTGGGAACTCGATCCCCATACATAAAACATGAAGTGCCGTGGACACGGCCTAAATGGCCCCTGAGCTGTCTGCAGAACAACGTTATGTGACGGGGGTGGGGGGAGGGGGTTTGCAGATCGACTTGTATCAACGAGCAGAATGTCTTCATCCCCAGGCGAGAATATTACAGCCCTTAACTTCAGTCCCATACATTCACTTTTCTTCAAAACTTTATCATCCGTCGTTACTGAAAATACTTACAAAAAGTAACGATAACATGGAATAAAATTCTGAAAGACTTCTGAAACAAGTATTTTCAGACACAATAGTAATTTTATTTTGGGATACCAGAGTTTTGGTGAGGGGATATGAGAATGGTTCTTACAGAAATATTGATTGAGGACATGGGAAGATTCAGCGTGTCCGGGTAGAGCCGAATGGTGACGTCTTATCTACACAGTAATGAATCTTCGATGTCATAATCTATTGCCTAGCTGAGCGACCATTAGCTTCTCAAGAAGGACTCTACTCCATCTAGCTAAAGTATCAGATTTAATATTAAACGAAAACTTCATGAAGCCTAGAAGTTAATAGTTGAAATATATTTTATAAACAATTTTTATTTTTGAGTTATTATTTAGTGTTCTGTCTGACGACAGGTCCATATGAACAGGATCCTTCCATCCTTTTCTCGGACTGGGACCTGTTCATATACGTTCTTGGCAGATGATCCAGAAGTGGTTTGCCATTGCCTTCTTCTGTGTGTGAATGGAGTAATTGTTGGGATGCCACGGAGAAACCGGGGAAGCCCCCCGAGGAAAACTCCGTGTTGCCTAGACCACGGCCTTGCCCAACACAAGTTATAAATTCGGGCACCGCCGGGAATCGAACCCAAGACCCCAGTATAAAGAAGAAATGTGAAATCCGATAGGTCCAGTTGCCTAGTTTATAGACTATAATAATTCGTCTGGACGGTATTTGAGCTGTTCTTACTGTGATGGAGATACTGAGTTCAGCGTGATCAGATTGGCTCTTGGCAAAGGTCCGACAATCAATAGAACTGAACTTACCACATTAGTGAATCCCCCGTTGGACCGGGTGCTGTGACCACCATACGAGATTAAGATTAAAATTAATTTTCGAGATGAGAAGAAGAAAACTTTTACTTTACGGAAACTTTTCTTTTCCTTTTTTTGGACGAAGTGGGCGCAGTTACGAACGAAGTTTTGAGTCCTCATAAATTAGAGGTCGAGTGTGACAGATCACATTCGTTTTAACCTGTTTCATAGGAAAACAGATTGCGGGATAAATCAAGTTAGTTACGTGATATTGTAACTCTGGACATTTGTTTGGGATTCATTGTTTCTAATTATAACCGAATGTCATTCTGTAATTTGATATTCGTTTGATTAATTTCAGATATAATATTTCTCCGTCAAAACGAAAAAAACATATTTTTAGTCTGTTTTTCTTACTTAAGGAAGGGAAATACGTCTCTAAGATTACAACTACGCTGTGTGTGTGTGTGCTCCTTATTTCAACATTTCATCCAGTTGCCCTGTTTTCATTAATGTTTTATGGGCATTACGTCACAGTACAATACATTTAAATTACCCGCTTTTCCATATTTACGCATGCGTCATCTGGGGGATTAAACGGGCCTGTCAGCTGCCGCAGATGCATTGAAAGATATTCTCACCCCATCGCAACTAATAACTTAAAATATTTCTCAATTGTGTCACTGAAAATATTTCTTCACGTAGTTCTAATACATTGGTCATAGATGGCAAGGCGAGAGCCCACACTCTTGCCGAAATGTG